TGTTAAATTAGTTTATAAGTGAAATGAAATTGTGTGATAAATGATCAGAATAAATATGGTCAACATGGGGTGAGAGAGAAAATAATGGAATAAAAATCAGAAATTACGTAATATGTAGAATAATATAAATTAGGTCAGATAAAGTAGATCTAGGGGTGGATACTGAATAAATTCCTCAAAAGGTTATCAAGTGTAATAATAATAACAATGATAAAGATAATAATAATAATAATAATAATAATAATAATAATAATAATAATAATAATGGTAAAGATAATAATAATAATGAACATTAATCAAATTACGTCACCATAATATAAGACTGATTATTAACTAGTTGGCCCTAAAGTTGGCCAGGGTAAAAGGAGTGGCTGAACATATTTCTTTTGGATACAAAGCTCTGGCTTTTTAATCCGAATAGCATTTGCTTCAGACGTCTGCAGGATTCTCAGTCTGACGGAATTAGGTAGACTGCTGTTAACACAATAGATCATTGCGAAAGATTGCTCCATGTTGGCTGTATATCCCGTTTGAATTAAATGGGTTAAAATGGAGCTGTTAACTGTTTCGACTACACCTTTGCTTAACCACACTGGGAGGTGCTCACGAGCCCGAATGTACAAATTCCTAGAACATCTGCCAATATAACTTGCTCCACAAGAATTGATAGATACAGAAATAAGTAGCTAGTCTAGGCAATCTATCTTTCAACCTCGGAGTGATTATTGGACGTGTGGAAAACATTAGTTGTAGTTTACCTGCATTAAAAGTCCTTTGAATTTATCTGCTTAACTTAAGTCTTAACGTTTCACTCGGTGCATCGCCTCTAAATTGTAAGCGTATATACAGAGGATTTTCATTTACATTTTCAATAATAAATATTTTACTAAAGGTCAATGTTCAGAAAAAAAATTTTTTGGTTAATATCTTCCTGGTTTCTAAAATATATAAAGGGATATTTATGTTTATGATGTTAGTTAACTAACAATATCCCTTTTACCTGTTCTACAATAACTTGATTGATGCTAAATAGACATAATTTCAAAAATGTTACATATCAGATTTGTTATTTAAATATTTATATTTTTGACTAGTCTTAGTTGGTGTACATTCAGCTAGAGTGAACTGCTTCTATATAATCACACTGTCATAAGTTTTAAGATGTCAGTCGATTGTGAGTAAACCCGAACTATTATAAATTAAATTAACTTCATATCGGTTACACAAATAAATGACTATTTGGACTGAGCAGCTTAGTGGATAATGTGTCAGGTGTTTGAAGTGAAAGTTGCTGGATTTGATTTCGGATGTAAACATTAACCTGGAATGCTGGTACATACAACTAATGAGTTCCAGAAAGGAAAAAATGTATTTTCTGGGTTTCACTGCTGACTACAATTCATATATTCTATAAAAAGTAATTAAGTGCAATTTAGTGATTGAATAATCATTTTATGGCTTAATATGAATAATGCTATTAGTTTGTGTTCCTTTAATATTGGTATTATTTGAGTCAGTAGTATTTTCATATCACATTACTCAAAGGTGTTTTTACTTATAATCATCTACTATCTTTATTTCACAAATATTAATCATTGTATGAATAGGCTGATAGAACTAACTATTAAGTGTTCAATGAACAAGATAGACCGACCAACCTACAGATTAACTGGTTCTTAGTCTAGTTAAAATCCAACCAAATAATATCAAGTCAAAAGTAATCAGTAAATGCTTTCATTATTATTGTTATTATTCAGTCTAGGAATGTCAATAGCAATACGGAACAAAATATTAAATAGCTAATAAGTTATTTTCATCAGTTTGTTGATGACTATAATAACAAGATAAGAAATCACAAATAAATATATATTGCCATAGTTTAAATAATGAACTGTTCTTAGTAAGATCTTCATTGAAATACTTTACGGCCATTTGCCCTAGTATAGTGTGTATCGACGGCTCCACCACATGGAATCGAACCCATAGCCCTTCGTTTTGTGCATGAATTCTTAACCTCCAAACTACTGAGCCGTCATCCAACGTTGTCAATATTTAACTTCAATCCATTCACAATATTGTGAAAGCCTCACTCATTGTGTGTAGTAGATAACTGTCTCACGCCTGATATGGTTTAATTTCACTGGTCACGGCTTCTCATTCAATTCATCAAAGTCAATAATAGGAGACAAATGTGTCAAGGATGGGCCAATCGAAATCTAAAAAATGACTGTTAAATGTTTATGAGTATCAATGACAAGGTTGAATTTGATAGTTTCGAATAAATCTTGCCAAGGAACACTTAAATTTGACAAAATGGTCTCCTAATAATCCTTTCGAATTGGAAAATTTACGGATTAAATCAACAATAGCACAGTACATGCTATTTTCGAAAATCCCCAGATTGGTGTTAAAAATATCAAAATGATTCAGAAAGGTGAGTAGCCGAAGAGTTACACATGATGCTAAATCCCTCTGCCCTCAATAGGAAAGAAGGCTTGAATATTCATCCAACATGGACCGTTTATTCAAACAACCACATCTGACCTTATTTATTTTCCACACAATCTAAACACACATATACACCTAATTTCAACCTCACTACTTGATTTTACAAATGCATACATTTTTCATACCCACACTTTGGCACATAAATTAATACAATGACAAGTCATACAAATTCACCCTGATCAATAATAACTCGACATTGACATATTCACATCTATTATGATTTTGATCGTACCAAAAATATTCTTCATTGTTTGCTTTGTTCCATTTAAAATTACCTACTTACTTACGCCTGTTACACCCAACGGAGCATAGGCCGACGACGAGCAGTCTCCAACCCACTCTGTCCTGGGGCTTCCTTTCTAGTTCTATCCAACTCCGCCTGAAGCCCATCTGGGGCTACTACCGGTTCGAAGCCCGGATAAAGGAGGAGGGTTGGGCATGGGGTTGGCGATCCCATCCCGTAGAAAACTAAGTCGCTAAAAAAACGCCAACCAGAAAAAAATTATTCAAACCACTATTTAAAATTAGTTTAATTTAATTCGGTTATTCATTTACTCTGAAGAAATGGTTTACATTAAGTCATGAAACGTCAGAAATACAATTTTTCTGCTTATTGGGATATAACAAAAAATATATTTGTCGACTGTTTGAGAGGGATTCAAGTGTGGATGATGTTTATCTTATATTACGTGAAGACATATTTAGGTAGCTTCAAGTGATTGAAATGAAATCCACAGTGAAAATTATGCTCATTTATATACCGAACTCATCTAGTAAATTAACAGGAAAAAGCTTGAAAATGCCAGATATTGTACTTTTGTAGAACATTCAAAAATGGATGGATAACCTCATACCTTTTCTGTTTTACACAGATTATTAATTTTGAGCTTGTTTTAATGCAGAGTCAGTACAATATTGAAATGAATGAAATTTTTGATTGAGATCATGAATTGATCCATGTTAGAACACCATTAAAAACCTGGAGACTTAAGGTCCTGTGTTCGAATCCCATATGCGGTATCATGGATGGGTACTGCTCAAGAGTTCCATACAAGGGTAAAACGACCGTCCAATGCTTCCATGTTTTCAATAGTGGTCTGACATTGGTCCGTTATTGATCTCAATCAAAAACACATTAACCTCCACTACTCCATACTGAATGGAATTTATCAAAGACACATTAAAAGACAAAATATATGTTATAATAGTGATAAAAAACAAGGTATCATAAAGCGGTTCAAAGTGATTTTAATAACTTAGTTTTATTACTAAAAAAATAATCATTCACTAAACGATCCATCTATATTTTATAGTTAAACGATAGCAATAAAATATTTATAAAGAAAGTTACATTTACTGATTTCTAGATATTATTTCAAAACTTGCAACAATATTCAACGTCTCAATAAAGGTTCAGTTGATTAATATTGATTTTTGATGGGTTTTTTAAATGATTCTTTTCAAATAATTAATTGTAGTGGTGAAGAAGATTTGTAGCTCAGGTAGATGATTTTAATGGTGTTTTGTTCTCTGAGCTGGAGAACAAAATGTCATCAAAATTAATTGTAGTGGATGTTTTATATATTAAAAGATTGATAAGTGTAGTCATTTATGGGAATGAATCGCCAATGTTATAACATACAAATGTTTACATTAGTTTGTTGAAATATGTAATTGGAATAAAAGTGGCTATACCATTTTCTTATTTTTAAAAGGTAAGTTTTAGATAAAACATTTACATACTTGCTGAGTTAAAAATAATCTCTGATATCTCAATGAACAATATACTACTTTGTGGAATAAGTACATTAACTGAGGTCATAAAAACTTTATTTTACAAACAGTAATCTATATCAGTGCTTACATTTTGGGATGATTGATTATTCCAAGCTCTACCGAAAGTTGTCAAGATTGTGTCTCTTTATCTGTCTCATTTCACACTTCCTTGTTAATATTTAAAAAGTTTATATTTCGTGACTGAAATAAAATTGCAGAAGGCTATATTTGATGAGTGGTCGCTGGTGATTTAATATAGCCATCAAATTAAGAGCCCGAAACCTATGGATATGAGGAGTTTAAGGTCTTGAATTTCTTGAATAAGTAACTTACTGATAAAGAAATTAAAATTGTTATCGATCAATTGCCAGATAAAGATAGCTCATCAAAGTTAGAGTGTCTTAAAGTGATAGGTTTTTAGGTTAAATCCGATCGGTGTTTTATTTATTTCTGTTCAATAACTAATAACCTTAGTAAAAAAAATTGTTTTTATCGCATTCATTAGACTGTCTACGTATTGATACCAAAATATACTTATGGATTTTGACTGGACAATATGTAGTAATATACCAAAACATAACTGACACATTTTTTGTAAATATTTCAATAAAAAAAGTTAAGTGTCAAATGAATCTAATTATACTTCCATTACAAGTCATATTATTTAAAAAAAAACAATGTACAATAAACTAGCATTGAATATTTAATTCACTTACTTTATCTCGACAAGTTTTATACATTTTGATTTTATCAATCATTTTGATCGCAACCTGTAGTAGTATGTGATATGTATTGTTGTTGATTAATGGTTGTCGATGATAGGAAGTTGTGGAACCGAAAAATAAAATAAAAACAAAATATCTAAGTAAAAACTAGATTAAAATTCAATTTTTATAAGATAGCAGATATGAAATAAAGACTGATGATATTGATCTAAATGATAATGATAGTTTTGCAATTGGATCATCTAGTTTAGAGAGTTCAGCAACACTATAATCACCTATTTGAACTCTAAATCTTTCTCATCATAATAAGATATAACTTATAGAAGAGCCAATTGAATGTATATACAATATCATTTAATATAGGATACTTTGGTCATGATTGAAGACACGGTAGTTTTCTGTTGTATAATGTATCTTATGACTAAATCCATAAATATAAATATTCATAGTGTGTATCTAACGTTTTAATGATTACAATATGATATCATCAATATGTTGTTGAAAGAATCACTGTAATAATTTATATTCCTATTTTTCAAAATTTGTCCTTTTCAGTACTAAAGTGTATTTACACAAAGATCTAGATATTTCAGGTATCCTTAATCCATAAATAGACCATATTTGCATAAGAAATGATCTTAATATTATTAAACATTTCCCATTTAGTGTATATACAGTACAGTATGGTTGAATAAATCAACAATCTAACAGATACTCTAGAATTCATTTTTGAAAAGTTGCGAACACAACTTGCAGACCAATCAACCAGGGTGAAATGGTGTAAAGTTTAACAATCTCCACATGTCGATACTAGGAATTATCATTTGTTCACAAGTGGCTAGCTTCAAGAGCAAACTTGTTGAGTTCTTGTGAGAAACCGCAGCTAGTAGAGCCAACCCGTGTCAGACGTGTAGAAGGCGCTCATCAAAGACAATGGAAAATGATTGCGCAATATCGTAGACTGATTGGAGACAGAATTTTACACCATTGGTCACCTGCTCAGTGGTCTACAGATCAAGCTCTCGCACAAGAGACAGAAGGCTATGGGTTTAATTCACAAATGTAGGATTGTGGATAAACACTCCTGATGCATTCCATACTGGTACGAAATGCTCATCTAGCGCTTCAATGTTTTTAATGTAAATCAGTATTGTATAATGAGGACTCAAATGTAATCAACCAAAAGATTGAGAGAAGTATTTCAGATGAATATTATATTACACAAAGAGCGGCTCTGAAACATTAGTTTGAATAGTTTTAAGGTCAGAATTAAGTCAACTGAACATAGGTTAGTGGTAACCAAGGGTAAATTTAGTTCAATTTTAAAGGGTTTTTAAGTTACTTGCTGTTGATCCATATGAACTCGGTAGCTAAGTGGATAATGCCTTGGTGTTTAAAGTGAAAGATACCAGTTTCGAATTTTGGGTTTTACATGAACTCTGGGATGGATATACATGCAACTGACGGGTCCCAAATAAGACAAAACGTACATCCCTGATACCACTACTATATACAATCCATTCCTTCCATAAAAATAAATTGATTTGATTTCACTGCGATGGTGTGTTCTCTAAACTGCATGGTTTAAATGTGGAGACTTTTAGTACTCTATATGAAATCCTATTGCAGAGTAAATAAAAAGACAGATCAATGCTTTCACTTCAAATAAAAAAATCAGGTTTCACATATTTCATAGCTCAACTTAAAGTATATGACACTGAAGTGAATTTTAAATGATATTATTACCAAATACTAAAGTTCATTTGGTATTATTTACTTGAATCATCCCATTGATGTTTAGGACTGCAATTGATCAGTCTCTTATTGGCATATGTGTATGCTGTGCGTAATGCCTCGATATTGCATTAATCCACAAGGTTTATAATCAAAGATGGATAATAGTCAGCAGTAAATGTCGCGGTGGCGTTTGGAGCGAACGGCACTGGGTTCGAGTCCCAGAGTGAACATCAACTTTGCTGTAGTCCCAAAAAGTGAGCACCCATAACCCATTAAATTTTTATTCTTATTACTACTTAATATTGCACATAATCAAACCAATAGCAAATTTTTTTCTTTTAACATTTGAATACTTGCATAATATCACCCATAAAAACGCAATGAAATTTAAAAAGATCAAGAAATTGATAAAATAAAGGTACTATTATTTTTTCACGTAATATTTTTAACCTATACCAATGTCTGTCAATACGCTGAATAAACCTGCTTGAATGAAAACTAATTAGTATTTTGTGACGTTTCACTGAATATTGACTTGTACTAACAAGAAAACTGCCTTTAAGAGAACTGTATAGTTGGTTACAGAGATCAGCTGAACATCAACCATATCAGTCGAAAACGGGTTTCACCTACTAAAAGTCCGTAATTTTCACGATAGAAAGAGAACAGATCTATGTAGTCATCTGTTAAATGTATCTAGAATTTGTTACACGGCTTGTTTGATTGATGGAAGCTTATTTTAATATAAGAAAAGGTCAGGTCGAATACTAACTCATAAGTGGGGGAAGATATTAGTAACAAGGAGAGAACCATTTTTTCTGATTGCTTGATTAATCTAGCAATCTGAGAACTAGTTGGCTTATCAGTCAGAACTAAATATAACAAGGGGAAAACGTTTATCTCTTCCAGCTGTAACAGTGTATACCAGTAAAGTCAATCAGAAACCAACATAGCGAAAAACAAGAAAAACTATATCAGATTGAGTCGAGTGACGACCAAAGAACAAATAGAATAGAAAAATGGAAATATGAAGTCACACTGATTTAAAGATTTAAAAGGCAAAATATATCCAGTGTTGTTACCTTGAGTGACTTTAGGGGATTTATACCCACATCTTCAGGCAAAACTTACGACCATTTCGCGCACCTGGGTTTGAAATCAAAGACTATTCACGACCCAGATCAACAGTCGATGAGTGAATTCAACAGCGAAACACTCCCATTTAACGGCAGACAGATTTTTTCTAATCTCTTCTTATCCTAATCACTATCACTTGTTTCAGTAGGGGATATTTAAGTATTTGTAAAAGATGTACTGACCGCCTCAGCTGATGAAGATTTATGGTTTTATTAATCGACCTGCCATTTCTATGTAGTAATTTACTTCTGAACTAGGTATTGCTAACATCGTGGTTCCAACACTCACAGGCAATACTTAACAGACATCGGGAACTAAATACTGGCAACCTGTTCAAGTCATCTAATCCCATAGGCCATATTTCATAACTGTGGATAATATAAGTGAGCTACTAGACAATATGTTTTACCTATGTAAGCCAAAAAACATCTCTATCCCATAGGTGCTCCAAGTTTTCTAGAAACAGAAAGAGCTGTTTGTATCGGTGACGGAGACTTTGTAAATCACCAACTCATAACACTCTTCTCCAGATTCATGAACTCCCTTATGCTTAACAAATGGTCTAATAGAAATGACTAGATGTAATGATCGATTTCAAAGGGTGAAAGAATTATTGATTTAATCAACTAGAAAAATACTACTTTTCTCAAGTTTAAGGACAAAACAAGAACAGAAAAGTTTCCAGAATACATCTTATACGTATCCGTTACATATAAGCTCATAGAAATTGAATTTTATAATAAATTTAATATACATAATTTTAATTGCAAGAATTTGAACCTCCCCTTTTTTATGTTCAGGCTCACATTCGATCAGTTCTTTTTGAGATATTTGAATCCTGATCGAGTTGCTTTCACAATGGATTTAAATTACAAGTGTATTCACCCAAAGTTTTGATAGTGGCTAGCAGTGGAGTCCAGGTCACCTGGACTCGTTGGCTGAAAGTACCAGCATCTCAGAGTTGATGTTAGCTTCGAGATTTCACAAAAATCCCTTTCACTTCAAACACCAACTACTATCCACTATCAAAAATTTGCTGCAAAATGCTTTTGATTTCATGACACCATCAAAACAATTGATTCAGAATCTGCCTATTCCAAAACAGATGTAATCTCAGCAAAGAGAAGATTCAATCCTTTGGAAAGTGAGATTAAATTTCATTCCCATCGCATAAAGCAGCTGTGTGAACGTTCACATATGTATAGATACATACAACGGATGTGTCCCTAGACTTCACTCCTAGACATCATCAAAACTTAGCTTAAAAATACTGAACATATTTGTTTATATATGACTGAGGAGAGTGCAATAAAATATAACTAATGAATGGTATTTAGGAAATTGTGTTATGACGAATGAATTATCATGATCACAACGAAAAGTAAGAAAAATTTCAGTAGAACATTCATTAGAACCACAAAAATTTAGCTGACATAATGGAAACGCACAGCCTTGCATAAGACCGGTAAACAATATTCACTTGATGTTGTTTACTTGAGTCACCCCATTGTTATTTAGGACTGTAATTGATCACTCACTTGTTGGTATATATGCATCCTGTGCGAACTGCATCAATATCGCCTGAAATCACAAGCTTTATAAGCAAAGATGGATAGTGGCTAGCAGTGGAATCCAGGATGCGCGTTTCGTCCTATTTGGGACTCGTCAGCTGGATGCACCTGTATCCCAGAATTGATGTTCACTCCGGGACTCGAACTCAGTACCGTTCGCTTCAAACGCCAACGCGTTGTCGGCTTAGCTACTGAGTCCTGATAGCCATCTGCTTGTGAAATGAGATTAAGTTATATTCAGTTGTAAAGCTTGTGACTTCAGGCAATATCGAGGCAATTCGCACAGGATGCACATATGCCAATAACATACTGATCAATTGCAGTCCTAAATAACAATGGGAAGATACAAATAAACAACACTGAGTGACTATAACGCCATCCCATTTCACAAGCATGTGGCTATCAAGACTCAGTTGCTAAGTAAATAACGCGATGGCGTTCGGAGCGAACGGTACTGAGTTCTAGTTACAGAACGAACATCAATTCTGAGATGCAGGTACACCCACCTGACGAGTCCTAAGCAGGATGAAACACGCGTTCTGGTTTCCACTGCTAGCCACTATCTATTTTTGCTAATAACCAATGTCGAAGTAAATAGTA